GTTCTTCCTTTCCTGTGACCTTCATTTACTTAAACATTTCAGTGAAACTTACTGTGCAGTTTTCTTAACAGAAACTACGTTAACTTTTGCCTTACAGTGTGATCCAAATCTTCAAGTCTTCAATGTCTTTATTGATAACCTCGACTTGCGTCTTCCTCGAATAGCGCTGTTTTCTACACGAACCATAAAGGCTGGAGAAGAGCTAACCTTTGACTATCAGATGAAAGGTCTGCACATTTTAACACTGCTCTTGCAGGAGGTTTGGGGCACTGGCAGGTTCTGTAGCAGGCTGATGTTAGCATTTCAGTTCAGGCACTGCATCTCCCTAACACAGCTCTGTGGATTCTAGAACAGATGTTGCTTTATTGACGTGTAGTGCAGACAGAGTGCACCAGGAAACTTTTTGTGTGCACCTCTAGTCTGTTACCTCCTTGAGAGGTCCTAGCTCACAGCGAGGGGTAATGGTTGGAACATCTGGCAAGGCAAACTGCTTTGAAGATTTGTCACAAGAAAGCTCAAAAGAATGGTCAGGATACTATTAAAAAAAGCTTTCATTTATTCAAAGGCATTTACGTGGCGTTTCAGGTAAACTACTTTCTAAGTAATCTGCTAGGGATAAAGACAGCTGTAACAGCTGAGTGTTCTAAGGCACTATGGGTTTGTCTTTGGGTTCTGGTGTCTGTAGGCCTCAGTTATGGATGTAGGTCCTATGGTACAGATGTTTAGGACAGAAGAAGGATGGTCCAGAGTTTTTTACACCGAGAACTGCTATTCACTGAACAGCCTCTTCAGGAACATGGTAGTTTCCCTGTCACTGGAGGCTTTCAAGCTGTGATTGGACAGGGTGCTAGGTAATCTCATCTAAGCTCTATTTCCCACAAAATGCTAGACCAGATAATCCTTTGAGATCCCTTCCAGTTTGGGCTGTTCAGTGATTCTTTGATTAATTGATCTTCCATGCAGTGTTCAAGGCCAGGCTGGACAGGGCTTTGAGCAACCTGATCTAGTGGAAGATGTCCCTGCCCACTGCAGGAGGTTGGACGAGATGGTCCTTAAAGGTCCCTTCCAACCCAAACCCTTCTATGACTTCTTTTTTTTCCAATACAATAAAAAATTCTTGAGGTTTGCTGGCAAGGGTGTTGTGTGTGTCAAACTTTGCATGCAAACCATTTATCTACAACAGTGATTTTTATCCTGCTATTTTGTTTTCAGAGAAGCATCTCTACACTCCAGATCTGTACCTCATTTCTGTAGAAGCTCTCTTTAAGTACTGCCAAATTGATCTTTCTTGAATCCTTAGAATCCTTAACACTTTTTTTTTTTTTTTTTTTTTTTTTTTTTTTTTGTGGTGTCTGTAACACTGACATTCAAGGCAGGCTGCCCTCTCCACGGTCAGTATGGGTACGGACCTGGGGTAGGAGGCTCGAGCTTGTTGAGCTTTGCCTTCTGATATGTATGCTAGGTGTTGCAGATGTAATATGGGTGTCAGTAGAACTGGGGTATAGCTGCGCACACAATTCTTTTAAGAACTGGGGTGGTAGAAGGCTTTTTGAAGTCATTTGAATACCTAGCATCGCTTCAGTCTGTCTTTTAAAGCTTCCTAATTTGTGTTTATCTGTGTCACAGGTTCAATAGATCTGACTTCAGACTCTGCTGAGGGTCTTAGCCCATCCAAAAAGAGGATCAGAACTGTCTGTAAATGCGGAGCTGTGTGTTGCAGAGGTTATCTCAACTGAGTTTGGGTATCCAAAGTCACATATACTTTGTTCTTATTTAAATGTGTTTTAAGAAGACTCTTCTTTCACACAAATATTCAAGTATTCTTACATCTAATGTAAATAAGTACAGTGAAAACAATGCATTACATTTGTAATTGAAATGGCGTTGGCCAAAGAGGTGTAGTGTTTTAGGCAAATACAAAACTGATGGTGGGGATTAAAAGTTGATTTTTCTACAACTGTTATTTAGGAAGCAGTAAAATGTATGCTAAGAAAACTCTTTAAAATGTACCTTGATTTGAATATTTGAGTGTGAGCTTACAGCCATAGGCCTTTTAGGAGCTAATTTCAGTGTGATGAAGTGATGTTATGTATTGGTTTTTATACCTTGAAAAGTCTGGAGGCATTTGATTTGAATCCTAAATCATATCTGACAGTTCTTTTGCTTTCTTGTTGTATAAAGAAAAGCTTCACAAGATCAGCAATAACATTTACGGCACTGGGGTGAAGGATTAAGGACAGCCATCAGAGTGTGTCTAAATGAAGGTTCACAGTAACGCAAATTGTAAAATGTCCATTGAACTCCATGCAAGTAAAGAAATTGGTTTTAGCAGATTGCAGATGTAAGATCAAGGTCTCAAATGTTTTTAGCTGATGTTATGTTATTTAGAAGTTTTACATGCAGAAGTTTTTTTTGTTATTACGTTCTGATTTTTGGTCAGGATGCTATAGGAAGTCTGCAGTTCTACAGAGAATTTGTGAATCAGTAGTAACGTTCCCTATTTGTTTTCATTGCAGAAATTTGGCAGTCATTGCTGAAACAAATTACTGGCTACAGTTTGGAAATAGATAACAAAAGAATAGAGAGAGCAGCCCATTGTCTGACAAAGCTGATGCATTTTGGAGATATGCTTAATTACCTGTTAGGTGCAGAAATACCCCGGGAATTGATTTTTATTCACAACTGTTCTTGATTAAGTTTTACATACTGTGACATTTTTTATCTAGTAACAGACTTTTAAGATACTAGGACTGTTTTTTCTTGTTGCAAAAATGTTAACTTCAGTGAAGTTAGACTAGGGGACAGTTTACCCATTTGCTGTAGGCATTTGTAAGATGTTCTTGAATGTAAAGGCTGAGAAATGTACTGTTCTTCAGCTACGTGACTTGTCTTTTTTTTTTTTTTTTTTTTCCAAATTCTGCCCTGATCATCTTAAGAGTTGTCTCGATGTATTCATAACATATGCTAAGTTTTGCTTGGCTTTGAAAACACTGAAGAGCAGTTGAAGTAGGTTATGAGTAGAGTTAAAGCCAAGGTCCATGCTCCAGGGATGATCTAAATGCTTTATTCTCATGGATTAAAAGCTTGTAAAACTTGCATGTTGCTTACAAATCATGTAAATGTTGATAGGTTCAGGTAGAATGACATTGCTCTGTAAATGGATGCTCCATAAGTGGATGCTAGCTATGTATCATAGGTCAGCTAGTTACCTTTATAAGGTGCACAGCTGTTGGCTCAGGTGAATGGAGTACCCAGCATATAACCGTTTACTGAATTTGTTAGAAAATGCCTTAAATGTCACAGTAATTACTAGCACTCCAAAAAGTGTTTCAAAGGATCATACAGGTTGGTTGGTCATTAAGGAGCACAGTTCCATTTGCACTGAAGATCTGGCTCTTTGGCAGAAAGTGAAATTTTATACGGTGCTAGCCAAAATGAGTTTCCTGGGTGGGGTGAAGGGTGTGGGCCACGGAAAGGGCTGTGTAAGTTTTGTAATCTGCAATACAAAGAGATACACCTCGAAATAGATACTTTATATTGTTTAATGAAAAAGTTTGCTTAGATTTAAAAGTATTTGACATTACCAGGCTTACCTATATCCACACACTCGGATGAATGCTTGATCTCAATTTTTACCATGCCACGTCTCTAATAATTTTTTTGAATAAGACTTTGAGGCGGAATGTGGAGCTTTAATGTTAGCAAACTCTAGATGATCTTACATCATTTGGAGTCATTAATGCTTTCTCTTGCATGTAGCCCGATTCAGCGATGCGTTCCCTGTGGATGGAATCTGCAGCCTCCAGCTCCTCTCCTGGCTACAGCCTCCCTGTCACTACAGGATGGCGAGAGTGGCTGTGGCAAGAAATGGATTCCTTACAAATCGGTTTCTCTGGCCTCTCCTGTGCAAGATGGCCCAGGGCTGGTTCTACACTTTTGTCTACCTGTGTCCATGCCCAGTTTAAGTATTGCAAGTAAATGCATTTTAAAAGATAGAAGTCTTAATAGTTGTACTTGAGGTCAGCGTCTGCCTTTTTCCCAAGGCAGTATATGTTACCACCAGCACTGGAATAACACTGCTCTTCTTTAAGGATGTGTGTGTGATAAATAAAGGACTGTTAATTTATGTTCTGGGAGGTAACAGTATTTTGTGTGTATTTGAAGTAAACCCATGTATCCAGTTTCCATTTTAGAGCCTTGAACAGTATTTTATATTTACATATTCACAGTGCATTTGGATTGCAGTCAGTGAATTAGCATAATGGGACACTGTCACTTTAAAAACTTTGCTGTTTTTTATGAGCTTTTGGGAAAATTGCCAAATGGGAAAAGGAAAAAAAGCAATTTGCAGTTTCTTAAGGAGCCCAGCTTCTGCCTTTGTTTCACTTTGCAGTCTGTTAGCGTCATCATAGCCACCAGTCTTAGAGACTGGTAACCTGTGATCTATCCTCTAGCTGTTCTTTTTTGTTGGGTTTAACTTAATTTTTTTTTAGCAAAACTAAAGCTGCAAACGTGTAAGAAAAGCTATTGTCTATTTATTTAATCTCAAAGTTGAGTCAATCTTTTGGTTACTTCTAATGTATGTTTTAGGACTGTATACATTAGAATATGCAGTTATAAGCTCAGGAACATTTTCTTTTCATAATGTGTGATCTCTAGTATTGCTATCTTCCTATAGTTTTTGATAAAATAAATTCAATTTAGTTTTTCTCTTGTTGTTGTCATTCTTAAAACAAAAAAACCTTAGCCTGTCAAAATTGGTTGTTGCTGGAACAGTAGAATTTGCTTTGAGACCTCCTAAGTCGTCTTGTATAAGGGCTGTAGTAGAGCAATCATGAAGCAGTCATGTGCTTCCTATTCAATTTATGGCTGATAAGAACCGGTATAAATTTACCCTGTCGATTTGTCTAAAGCAGATTGGGCTCCTGGATATTTAAGCACACTGTAAACAGAGCCCTGACTTTCCATGTATAGTAAAGGAAACAAGCCAACAGAAGAAATTCTGCTCTGTATGACTTTATTCACAGAGGTAGTTAGCAGTTTCTCTCACTCAAGCTTGCTAAAAAGAAAGAATTTGGTAGACCACATTTGGAAATTCTATTAACAAATCCCAGGAACAGTGGGCAAAGGTGACAGTGAAGTAATACATTGACTTGAATATCCTCAATAGATAATAAGCAATTTTTGTTCTTTTTTACCCCCCTCCCCTCCTGCCTCTGTTCCAAATAGCAGAATGCTGACTGGTTTAACGTTCGCCTGTCGCTAAAGATGGCAGAAAGACTGAAGACACACGTGGAGGGGAAGGCTGTCATAATAAACATCTGGGTAATTCTTTGGGATGTAAGACCACATGGCTGGGAAACCCCATGGATTTTTAGATGACTTCTGCTGTTTAGGCATTTTTGTAGGCACTGCAGTTTAACAGAAAAGTGACTTGCATTTCCATTTTAGAAGCTAAGACTGTTGGCAGAGTTATGATGGCACATGTGCAGAGAGAATCGATTGTCTTGATTTAAAAAAGAAATCTAAACACGTCAAAATCCAGTGAAGCCAGCAGAATGTTGCAGAGGTGGAATTTGGTAATGTAAGAGAAGAGCCTGTCTGTGAGAACAGGTTCGCTTCTGTTGCTGTGAGTTGGCTCCCGGAGCAGGCTACGGCTGGTGGCTTCGGAACCACATGCCGCAGGATTTTAAGTTGGTCTGAAAACCAATGCAGAACAAACCAAAACACCAAGTTGTTTGCAATGACTTAAATTTAAACATAGACAGTGGTGTACAGTACCTCATTCAGGAGTTCAAATCAGATGACAACACTTGCTCAGTGTGAAGACAGACTGCTCGAAAAGAACAATTAAAAAAAAAAAAAAAAACTACACACACCACCTCTCAGTAATTTTGATGATTTTTTAAAAACAACAATGCGGTATTTTGTTAAAACCTGAGATCATGTATATACATCAAACTCTTAGAGCTTATGATAAAAAGCAACACTAAATTTCATTTAGTGTTCTACCCTTAGTTTTGTCTGGTCCATTTTTTGTCTACTTGCAGTCCTGGAGAAGTGAACCTCAGGAGAAGGGTAGAAGGCTTTTACAGTCCCTCCTACGAATCCTTCCTTTTCAGCATTTCATGGAAGGAACAATAAAGTTACAGAGGCTGCAAATTCCTAGTTCTGACATTAGGATATTTCTGAAAAAATTGCATGAATTAGCATAGCTACAGATAGGAATCGGCACTAAAAAGTAATTCAGGGTTTAATAAAAAAATTTCAGTATTTGTTATCATGATGTAATCAGCTATAGCTGTCTTCAGGAGACTTTTTCTCATTGAGTATGCTTTCACCTGCTGCTAGCTTCTTATATAAATGGTGCAGTTTATCTGGCTGAGGCGCTTCAGCATCAGGAGTCAAGGGAATTTCAAAGTCGGAGGAGCTCTGGGAGTTCCTCCTCAGCTCTAGATCAGGAGTCCTGGAGCTGTCGCTTATTTCCACCAGCACGTCTTGAACACGAGCAGTGCCAGCTTCTGCATCTGCCTCACGGTCTTTGCTTTTCAAGTCACAGGCACCATCGGAGGCGCAAGATCTGTTCTGACCCAGTGGCATCTGCCTGCTGCTGTCAGGCTGACTGGCTTTGGCCGGCTCCTGCCAGGCAGGAACAACAGTTCTGCTCCCACCTTTGCTGAAGCAGCTCAAGTCCAAGGCGTTTCTCTCCTGAGAGGTAATGAGTACTGTGTCCATTTGGCTATCCCAGCCCTGGCTCCCCTGCTCCGATATGTGTGTTGACTGAGAAGAATTTTGGGAGGAGATGTGTGTGGAGTCACTTACTCCATCTGAATCACTGAAGAGTGACTGGGACCCACCAGCATCTGCTGAAGATGGGAAGTTGTCCTCATTTTCAGAGCTCTCTTCTAGTCCATGACACCTAAAAAATGCATCCCAGCGAGGGACATCGGCATTAGACTCCTGTTGGTCACTAGTTACTCTGTTGAAATTTGATGTGGAAGTGGCATCTGGCTCATGGGAAAGAACTTGAACTGTACTTTTTTCCGATTCTTCTTCGTCATCTTCATCACCGTCATCATTTGATTCCTCACAGTCCATGAAGTCTATGTTGAGGGAGACGTAAGTTGTGGTCCATTTGTAACTTTCTGTAACGTTAATTACATTGATGTTTCCTTCAGCATTTTCAGATTGTCCTGTGCTGGAGCGCCTGCTCTCTCCTTTCTGCTGTTTTGGAATTTTAGGCCTTGCAGAAGTTAATTCTGAATCAAAAAGATCATCTTCATCTGTCAAGAAAAGAACAGGGGGGGAAAAAAAAAAAAAAACACACACACACAAAAAACAAACCACTAAGAAAAGTGCACATCTCTGCTAAAATCTTGGTGAGATCAAATTTTTAATACAAATTCATTTAGTATAAGGAGAGGAAAAAGTTCTTTAACCCCAAAGGAGACTTAGCAGGACATGACTGACAGCATTGGCCTTGCCTTGTCTAGCACAGCGCTTACAGGGCAAGCTGCTAGTTGCCATCCTCCATTAAGCTACAGACCAGACGTGGCCCTGGTAGACACGTTTATTCAGGCCTCGGAGGTGTTGCCAGGACTGCCTCACCCCTGCATACTTAGCACTTCAGAAATAGCCAAAGAATTGCAGAAGGCCCAAAGTTGTCTTCCAGGAGGCATTCCAGAGGCTATGGACAGCAGCCATAAGTTAAAAAAGCTAGCAGGTGCTAAAAAAGCCAGCAGTGAGGGATAATGAAGAGGAGCAAATCCACTCATACACCGCTCTGTCCTCCACAACACAGGGGGTGACACAGGTAAAATTAGAAGAAGCTTTACTAGGGACAGTCTAGGACTGTGGGATGGAACTCTTAAAGGGCTGTTGAACATCAGATGCATTTTAAGACTGCAAACAAGCGCTCTTGTGCACAATTAGTGCGCTCTCACCCTCCTAAAACCTAAGTTAATTTAATTTACACTTCTCTCAAACTGTTGCTCTGAACACAGACTATGGTGAATACCGTGGCTTCTGGTACCCCTGCTTAGTCTCAGACTTTCATTGAAGGCACAGCAGCACCAGCAGAACCTTTACCTGTATCAGATAAGTCTCTCTTGTGGACTCTTTTCAGGGTTCCTAAGGGCTTGTACCTGGGTTCCACATTTCTCCTGTACGACCTGCATAATGGCTTTAATCTGAGGTGAATGAGAAGAGCATTACTATTTAGAACTCAGCAGATACTTTCAGGAGCAAAATTAATTTTTTTAACTTGATCCAAGGACACTGCTTCATGCCTTTCACAGGCACTGCAGCACAAGTGTTAAAGCAAGGGCAGCAATAGCTAGAGAAAAGTTCTGAATTCTCTGGTGACCTTAGGCAGCTTGAAGGCAGAAGTCTGTCATTTCTCTATATTAACCTTAAAACATGTATGCTATTTGAATAGTACCTTTTAGTCCCTTGCTTAGAGAAGACAAGATGACCGGGTTCAAAATCTGACTGCAGTTTTATTCAATAAAGTATCTCCTTGCTTATTAAGGAGGAAAAGAAGAAGGAACAAAGAAACATGTCCTCATCTTATTCAGACCGAGAGACACCACTGCTCCACTCTGTAAGAGCGCTTTCCAAGCTGCCAACATCCATAGCAGCACAAGAGAACAAGCCTCTGATGCTGCACAGAGGGGAGGAGTTCAAGCCCCCAGAGAAACCGTCTTTAAAAGGAACTTCTGAAAAGTAGCAATGACAAACAGAAATAGGTCACAGAATAAAAAGTGAGATGAATGTGTATTCAGATTCCACCCAAGTAGTGTTTAACAGCAGAAAAGCCTCTATACATAGATATAAGTAGTGTGTGGAATACAAACTCTAACTTAGCACAACATACAAGTGTTCTTCAGAAAGCCAAAGTTTGCAGGACTAACGACAGAAAAAAAAGGACGTCTGAATTATCAGACAAGTAAAGAAAAAGGCAGGGGCCTGCTTAAGAGGCTGGAATTCAGGAGAGGAGTCGTCCTTACAGGCAAAGATTAGATGGCCTCCATTCAGCAGCCACTTCGCACTTACATTTCCACAACTTTGTCTTCTGTCCCACCCACTGGCAGTACATTGGGATACACATTCACAGGACGGATATAGCTCAGGAAATCCTTTATCTAAATTGAAGAAAAGAAGAAGCAATTTAACAAGTTACATCAATCTGTTTCACTGAATGTCAGCACTGATCAAACAACTGGCACAAGTATTACCAGTTGTCTCACGGAAAGACCAATATGACCCATGAGACAAAGTGGGTGGCTGCATGACAAGAAAATGGGTCCGAAAGGATGCTGAGAACTCAGGCTCACCCAACCACCTCACAGCAATTATCAACTACTAGGAAGACCATCACTATCTCAAAGAACAGGCTAGACAGACCTGTTCCTAGGGAATGTCATCCAGCCCTTCACTGTCCTTACAGCTGTAGATCTTTTCAGACCTGCATTTGTCTTATTGGACGTCAAGTCCCTAGTTGTGCAGATCAGGTATTCCCTTCCTCAAAGACTTTTCCTAAAGTCTCCCTTCAGTCCACTATATAAAAGCCCATTATGACAAAACACGTCACTTTTCCCAAGCCTTACTCTGTTGTCTTCTAGATGCTCTCCAGACAGTAAATTTCTTGAAATCTTGTGTCCAGTTTGAGGTACTCCACCCCACCTGAGGCTTTATCAGTGCTTTATCACTGAAAACACTTGCAAATTTGCAGATTACACTCCTATCTATACAGACCAGTAAGACCCATCTATTTTTGCATGTGGAGGTACGAGTCTGTTACAATACACTACCCCCCATATTCTGCCAGCAAAGCTGCCACATTGTGTGTACTACACTGGTACCTCCATTTAAAATTCTGCATGACAGAACAAATTCAAACTTATCCAGGGTCTTAAAAACAGGACTGTCTTCCTAGAGCTCTGAATAATCTCCATTTTCTATATGCAAGGCTTTGTGACTGGTTAATTGTTAGCACTGATCCCGTTTCAGTTCAGTTTCTTAGGAGAGAGAAGTATTTTAAGAACTGGATCAAGTCATATTAAATGAAAGTGTGTGATTCTGGAGGGGATGCTGCCATGACCATTTTCCTTTTAGTCTTTAACACGGAAAGAGGAGTAACAGTGGCAGCAACCATGGGAGAAAATTCTGTTTAAATGTGTGGGCAGGGAAAAGAAGGCAAACCCACACAAAACTGAGTCACAGCAGATGAAGTACTGAAAAGCAAAATTCCAAGCTTTAAGCACTGCAGTTACACAATAATCTAAAATAGAAAAGCAGTTAAAACAACTGTAGCAGTGACCTATACTTTGAGAACAAAAATTAGGCTTGTAATCCTGCCCTACCTTAACATGCTCTTCTGCAGCTGTATTACATCAAACTTCTCTGTCTTCAGCATCCAGAACTTCCTATCCCCTCATGTCTTATTATAAAGAAGTTTTTTATTGTGACAAGTCATGTCATCCACTCCAAAATAATCAAAACGCCTTCATTTTTTTAAATCAATGTATATTCAGAAGTACAAGTATACAAACCTCACTGTATGAAGAGTGGAAAGAGAAACAAGCTCTGTAGGTACTCTCTCCAGTCCTAGAAAAAAGAGGAGGCACAGAAATTAGTAACTGCTTTTCATCCTCAGTCAACAGACAAGCATAACCTACTCCTAAAAAGTCCATTTTAAGATTCAGTTATACAAGTGTCAGGCAAGACACGCACTCAAAACAACAGGTTCCTGCATGACCCAAATGCTCACCTCACTATTACATTGGTTTTCTTGATCCTTTCCCCAAACCACATAGTGGAGGGTTTGATGCTGATTACGTGCAAGGGAGTTCCATTTTGGCAAGTTATCCCACAGGGCAGTCTGTTCCCTCGAAAGCACTCATCTTCCTGTCAAACGCAATATGAAGTGCAATCTGAGCTTCTTTTGATATACTTAAATGGATAAAACCTGACTGATCTAATATGCTGCTTGTCCTACTTCATGTAAAAATACAATTTTCAAGTTTCAAATAAAATTAAAGTACTTGTAGCATCAGCTAATATATTTTTTCTCTTTTTTACCTTTTTTAAAAAACTTCAACCCACTAACTGAAGTTCTCAATCTTCTCTACCTTAAGCCAGTATTTGGCCCAAATCTTCATTAGAACAACTTGACCAAAACATTACCACCTATAACCAGTCCTTCACATAAAAGTTAGCACAGGCTTTGCAAAATGATACACACCTGAGGATGCCTGCAGGCGTGAATCTGAGTGCGTCGATCTGTAGTAACATGGTAGAGGATTTCGGGCATGTTTCTGAACATATCAAGTTTGTTCACGTGCACCTAGGGAAAGACAGAGTTTACTCTTAATTAGCTCAATGCGCTTGCCAGACTGCAGCTGGAGCAACTATACGGATGTGGTTCTGCTCACAACAAATGCTGGTAGGCATTTAAACAATTCCTACCCACTAGTAATGTCCAAGCAGAGAAGTGTTGGCCAAAAGTAACCTGGATGTCTAGAACAAGCAGAACATACCCCCTATGCTGAAGAGGGAGGAATATTCATCAAAGAAAGTCAGAATCTATCTGCTAACTATTAATGTCATATGTAAATAAGAAGGCTTTTATCATTCACAAGATAAAAGGGAGAGAGCTAAACACTGAGCTTGGAAACTGGGGATTAACTTCTCCCCAGAGATCCCAGATGTTCAAGGCTGTAATCAACTAGTTAACTCATTTTGAGCACAACTGTAGCTTTTTAAGTGAAGTTATTGAAAGCAGGTACATCTTTCACATACAGCAGTCCTCTGAACAGGCAGTTCCAGCTCTGTGACTGGCCGCAACCATTACAGAGGATCTGATCTAAAGCAAGCATTATAGAAACGTTACCTTGATTCCAAGTTCCTCACTGAGGTTTATGAATAAATATTCATATCCGTAAGCAGCTTTACAATTCAGCCACACAACATGATAGCGAGTCAGTGAGGTCCAGCTTCGCACTAACTCTAAGATCCCTTTTAAACATTCTTCCTGAAAAGTTTAGAAAATGTTATGAATTATCTTTGAAGATATTTCTGAAGTGCTGTGATTTGATAATGCAAAATGGCATTGCCTTGCAAGAGTTACCTAACAAAGGGGTGGTTAATTAGTTAGTAGCTTTAAGGACCTTTCCTCTTACAGCTTATTTATACTTACCCGGCTTGGTATATGATAAAATTTGGGATCACAAAAAGTAGTGTCCAAATACACACTCTGGATGTCTTTTACTCTGAAAGAGAGAAATGTGGTATCAGACTGAGCACTGCATCACAGTACTAAGATATACCACTTCCTCTCTCTTCAAAAGGAGGCAATTCTTCCTCTTTATCACAAAAAGAAAGTCAAAAAGGGCTTGTAACTGCAGTATTTCCTGACTGCAAATATATTTAATCCACAATAAAAAAAATGAGGAAAAAAAAAAAAGAAACAACATTATTTTTGAATCATCCATCCCTGTGTGCTCTTTTATTCTTTCTAAATCCCATGATGAACAGCTGAAGTCTCACCTGGTTCCTGAATGCAAAAGCTCCATTCTGGCTGCTTCTCCTTTTGCAAGCCTGAAATCCCCTGTATACAGCACAGTGCCGTTTTCACCTTCAAACAAAAACCTACGAACAGAAACACTTTGGTCAAACTGAACAATACAAAGCATTAAATGCCAGGTGTCAATCTGCTACCTTGCTTAAGGCAGTCTACGTGACTAATGTATGATGTAACAGAAATACTGGGCTCAATTTGGTCCTAGAGTAATTTCAGATAAACCCAATAATTCAGACTCAGTATGTCTGGAAAATAACCTGTGCCTAGGCTGGTGAGAGTTGAAGACAAAAGCCTCACAGATTCTGTGAGGGTAGCACAGCCATCTGTTGCAGCCAAAGGAATCTATTAGGGATCTGTTCCAAGAAGCTGGGCACCTTCTTTTTAATGTCATACTTCAGAAATGGAGGATTTATTTTTAATCACGATTTTGTATGTCATTTTTAAGTACAGCTGAAACCAAGAAAGCTGGTATTCATAGGCATGGGGAAAAGTAATCTGCCCCACCAAGGTAAACACTTCTGTCTGGACAGATACCAGACAGTATAGTGATTTTCCAACCTTGACCAAAGCTGGTGGGCCCTGCCACAACAGTAGTATCTCCAAGTAAGAAATTTCAATTGACTAGCTTTTTCTAGTTAGAAAAAAATCCAGCACTTAGTGAGAACTCTACCGGACAAATTTCTCAGCAGAGACATTTAGAGCATTGAAAGGACGTACATGACTGATCCAGGACAGTGGCCAGCTGGTAGAAGTGTCACCTCTATATCTTCTTTCTGGAAGAGATGAGTTAGCATTATTTTCACACTGTAGTGAGTACTACCAGTACTTTCACTGACACAGTAAAAGCAACACATTACTCCCCCCAGCCTCTTGCACCATTTATCATTGCTTCTGAATGAAGAGAGAGTCTCTTCATATTCCAATAAGCCCTGAAGACCAATGACTATCCTGTCATGCCAAAAGAGATGACTGAATAGTGTATCCTGCTCATAAAAGAAAGACAGTCAGAAGACAATCCTCCTTCCTTGATTCCTGGTGAACAAGCACAGAATGGTTTGTATTGGAAGGGACCTTTAAACCTCATCTCATTCCAGCCCCCCAGCCCCAGGGACCTTCCCCCAGCCCAGGGAGCTCCCAGCCCCGTCCAACCTGGCCTTGAACCCTTCCAGGGAGGGGGCAGCCACAGCTGCTCTGGGCACCCTGGGCCAGTGTCTCACCACCCTCACTGCAAGAAATTTCTTCCTTATATTTGGCCTGAATCTGCCCTCTTTTTGTTTAAGATTGTTATCCCTTGTCCTGTCACTAAAAATGTTTCTGTTAAATGTTCTGAAAAATGGTTCTGCTAAAATGTTTTTCCCCATCATTCTTATAAGCCCCCTTTATATATTGAAAGGTGACAATAAGGTCTCCCTGGAGCCTTCTCTTTTCCAGGCTGAATAACCTTGACTCTCTCAGCCTGTCCTCACAGGACAGGTGTTCCAGACCCTTATTATCTTTGTGGCCTCCTCTGGACCTCCTCCAAGAGGTCCATGTCCTTCTTACACTGGGGGCCTCAGAGCTGGACACAGCACTGCAGGTGGGGTCTCACAAGGACGGAGCAGAAGGGGAGAATCCCCTGCCTCGACCTGCTGACCATACTTCTTGTGACACAGCCCAGGATGCTGTTGGCTTTCTGGGCTTCAAGTGCACATTGGTGGCTCACGTCCAGCTTTTTATCCACCAGCATCATGGAAATACCCTGGGATCCACTTTGCCTGGAGATGGTCTACGAGACCTTTAAGTCCTGCACTTAAAGCTTGTTAAAATAAGCCAGGAAATACAAAGTAAAAAAATCAGAAAAGCAGTAAGTTGGAGCTCACCAATACCCTGGAAAGACATTACCAAAAATATGCTATGATAATAAGAACAAAGCAGAGAAGAATTCATGTGGCTGCACGTGTTGGAGAGAAGGGGAACATACATTTTAAAAACAGCTTGTCCACTTGGGATGTTACAGGTAAGATCTGTTTCCCAAGCTCATTTAAACACTATTACTGCCCATTACAAATACATTAATTTTATTTTTTTTTTTTTAATAACTTACCTCACCAGATGTTTCATCTACTAAAGAAATCTGAGTTGGAGTTTCAACTTCCAATGCAACCTATAACAAAATGAATAAATGCATTATAGGATTTACTGAACATTCTGTCTCACGCTTATGGCTAAGTATTCATTACGTAGACATATTTAGCACCCGCTGCGGCTAATGCTAAGCCTGTAAAATTAAGCTCATTTTTCCCACAGTAAGTCATGAATTTTCATTTCCAGTGGAAAAAAGTTTTCTAAAAGTTGTCTAAAAATGAAATGGAAATACCTCAATCAAAGTGTGCATGCCTAAAAAAAGTTAGAACATGTTGGACTTCAAACAGCAGCTCTGGTTTCTCTGGCTGCATCATATGCCTGGTTTCTGGATGACTGCAAAGCCTAAGTCATCCCAGTCCCAGAGCACACCAGTGGATCTTGCTAGCTCAGATCTCTGTGCTGCAGTACGTCTCCTCACTGTTGCCTATTACAAGAAGCAGAGACCATAAATCACATGCAGCACATATTTCTACATTTGTGTAGAGGTGATTAATCTACAGACCGCAATTAATCCCCTGTTCTGCCATATCCTCTAAGAGCCCTGCAATGTACATGCTCTGCATCCACCTGCACAGTTAACACTGCTATGCAGGCTCCTCTCCCATCCTCCTGGGTTTTTGTGGGGTTTTTTTTGTGTTTTTTTTTCTTTTGTTTCAGACAATATTTGTATATAATTCTCCTGCCCAAAAAAGCCAAAGTAACAGGAAAGTCTCCTGTCATCAGCCTCCTTATATATCTCCAGCTTCTCAGCTGAGTGGTCTCCTCAGCACCTTGGGTTTCACTGCACTGGATAGATTCACAAGACACCACAATGCAAATTTCTAGGCAGCTCCACAAGATCCATTCAGCTGGTACTCACACAAACGTGGTATCATTTGGCTTCTCCACCAGAAACCACAACAGCAGTCAAAGTCAGAGCTTGCTCCAAAACACAGATATCTGTGTCAAAAAGTATTTTACACTAAAAATACAAGCCACTAGAAAGAGCTAATTTTTTAAACATCAATACTAATTTTATCATCTGCAATTTCTGAAACTGAATAAACTCAAGATGATCTAAATTCTGTATGCTCAATATTTCTCAGTAATTATCAAATTTCCTACTGCAGTTAAACAATTGTCAAGTTTTATATCTAAACTGCCTGAGGAATTATCCACTGACAGCCACTGTTTAGCTTCATAAGCCTAAATGACAGTATCTCCAGAGTTCTCTCCTCAGTAGTTTAAATGTTAAAGCCAGCATCAGATCCAAAGAGCCTCTTGTGCTGTACATACAAACAAAGGACTGGAAATCATGATCATATAAAGCCAGTTAACTTCTCCCTCAGCTTCACAATTAAACTAGGACCTTGAACAGAAAAGTCCCCTACTTCTCTTTTTTCTCTTACCCAGAACTACTTCCTAGGTCCCACTCATGAGTTTCTTTGGATATGGAGCTTAAGATCCACACAAAATATTTAAGGAACCTCTGAGCCATAACTCCCCCAAGAAAACAAGTTTCAGCTTGCCTGAAGTCCTTCTTGACTTTCCACTTGACTAGAAAACTCTCCAGTCCTTGCTTGGGGTATACAGTAAAATCCTTACACTATGTGATGATGTATGTACATACAGTAAGATGTTGTAAGGAACTGAAGAAATTAATGCCTCAAACTTTTGTTGACACAGAAAGCCTCAAGGACGAGCTGTGGCCTTAGTGATTAGTCTAAGGAACGCTGCCCAGGGAAGCGCGGAGCGTATCAAAGGGTGCGTGTCTTCACTCCCTTGTGCTTGTATTGCCAAATTCCTTAGATAAGCCCCAAAGTGGGAGGAGAGACAGACTGAGTGAAAGCAGATGTTAGGTTAATGCTTACACTTTAATTTATGACTATATCCTTGAAGAAGGGCTAAAAAGACTGATAAGCTAAAGGCTAGACAATTTCCCAAGGAGCAAAACCAGAGGAAGAAGTAAAGGTGGTAGGGGGGGAGCACGACCACCGGCTGAACTGGACAAGGGGGTTGGTGCACCCCATTCCTCCTGGATACATCTGTAGAACCCATGCTCCCCACTTTCCTCTTCTCTCATAGAAATGAGTTCCCAGAATACCCGTCTCTCTTTGTCTAGTATGCCAATCAGCTGATAAAGATGAACTTAAAAGGTGGCAGAAAACTGCTGCATGTGCACCCACCACCCAGGATTTCTGGACCTGAGACACCACCCCTGGTTCCAGCATTGACCGGACTCTTCTTTCCTTTTCTTTCTTACAGATTTATCAATAAGAGACCACATTGCTTACTATCATTTTCCAAGTTTAAGTTGTTTCTACCACAAGTAAAATATTTTAACTGGTTGTTTTGTGTCATTTCACCTTAATTTAACCTGAGGGGGGATCACAGAACCTTTATGGCTCCCTGGGCTCTCAGGTCATAACAGATGTGAAAAAAAAACATGTTCAATTTCAAAGTCCACATCTGCAAAGGGAATGAAATAACTACAAGTCACACTAGTACATGACCACTGATCACTTGAAGTTTGGCTCCAATGAGTGGAAATCAAGTAAAGTAATTAAGTTCTGCAGTGATTTTACATCACTAAAACATTTTCATGTTAGATAGTCCATTTTCCAAAAAGCTAAAGGAAAATAATGTAACTAAAAGATCATATATACTCCAAGCAAAACAAGACTTTAAATGAATCAAGAGAAAAATTAATTAAGGACAGGAGCAAAGAGACATGAGCAAGGTAAGGGAATGAAGGTGCGATACAAATGACCAACGTACAGATGGAGGACATTTAAAGCTGAAGATGAGAGAAAAGGATACATTTTATGGAGGGAAAAATAAGATCAAAAAACAATAAACCAGTTCCACAATGCCCTGAAAGACTGTACCAACATCAACACTGAGACATCTCTGAGGAGGGGGACCTTCCTTTTTCCTAGAATCACTGCTTGGAAAGTGTTGATTTAAAAATAAACAAAAACTTACAACGTGATTCTCCCAAAACTTGTATTTCCAGTTAGTCAACAGCAATTCCTTAGTTACTGGAGAACAGTATAATTTAACTTTCAAGCTGCAAGGAGACAAAAAACACAGACAGGGGTTTTTTAAAGTAGAGGCAGGGAACAATCTAACAATGCATCAACACCTGGCATCCAGTACATGGAAACATGCACTCAGGCCCCTCTCCCATCTGAAGAGACCTGCAGACCAGTAAACCTGCAGGAGCTGTTTTGCCCCAACTTGAAGCAGGATGAAGATGAGTTACTCCACCCTGCTGAGGAGGCTTTTCTTTAACACAGCAAATCCAAAGACTTATTTATGTAAGCCCATGCCTGCATGGGTTTGTGCAGACACAGATAAACTGTATGGTACATGGTCGTGTGTACGTGTACCTTTGTTTGTTTCTATATCCACCAAGATCTGTTTCAGACATGCACGCTTTCCCTGGAACAGGCATTTGGGACAGTTAGCATTCAGCAGAACACAGAATACTTCCTATAAAGCTCTAGCTTTTGCACAGTACACAAAGAGACATGAAGAGCAAAGAAAGATTCTCTGCTTGCATTTGAGGAGATGCAACATCTAATAAATTAAACAGTACCTAGGAACTGGTTCACAATCTCTCTGGGACCATTTTCATGGTGAAAAAGGTGTCCCTTGCCCCTTCGTTACGCACTTCCAAGAGTCTGTTTCCACCTTCTCTAACCCTACTTACAGTGATAGATGGTTGTCTTCTACTCTTAAGGCTGAATACAACCAGCTCCCAGCCTCTCCTCACACATCACGTGCTCCAGACCCAGACCACTTTGGTGGTCCTGCTCCCAAACACCAATGTTGGGTTTTGTCCAGGGGAGCTCAGGACTGGACTCGGTACTTGTCCTGGGTTTGAGTGAGTGGTGGAGTTTTTTGGTGGCAGGGGAGGGGGCTATAGGGGCGGCCTCCTGAGAGAAGCTTCTCGAAGCTCCCCCAGCTCCAAGTCAGCTCCACCTCTGCTCAAAAACTGAGCCAATCGGCTGCGCCTCTGCGATAACGTATTTAAGAAGGGACGTGGTGACGGGCAGTCGGACTTGTGAGGAGGAGTCGCTGCAGCTGCGTGAACACCAAGGTCAGTGGAGGAACAGAAGAAGGAGTGGGGAGGTGTGCCGGAGCAGAGACCCCCCTGTATCCTGTGGTGAGACGGCAGGGAGGCCTCCGCCCGCCACCCATGAAGATCTACGGTGGAGCAGACACTGATTTATGGCCTGTGTTTTTCACGTGGATGATCAAGGTGCTGTGTCCGAAGAAGGCTGAGGTCTTGTGGGAAAAGGTAGCCCCGCTGCTGTAATTCAGCACTGGGAGGATTGCAGCATGCAGGGGTGTCCCACACCGGAGCAGCTCGGGAAGGGCTGCAGCCGTGGGACGGACTCCAGTTGGAGAAAGTTGGTGACCTATGACAGAGCAGTGTGGGGAACGCTGCGGCCCGTGGGAGGAACTCATGTCGGAGAAAGTTTGTGGAGGACTGTCTCCTGTGAGAGGGGGACCATGACGGAGCAGGGGGAACAAGTTCCAGAAGCTCCCCCCACCGAAGATGGAAGAAGCGGCAGCACTGACTGCACCCCCCATTCCCTGCCCCTGTGGGGAGAAGGTAGAGATATCGGGAGCAGAGCTGATCCCGGGAAGAAGGGAGGGGTGGGGGGAAGGTGTTCTCAAGATGTGGCAATGCTTCTCACTGTCCTACTCTGCTACATGTTGTTAGTGTCTGTAATAAATCTATGTTCTTTTTTTCTTCCCCTAATGAGTCTGCCTTTTGCTCGTGACCATAAAGGGTGATATTTTCCCCATCCCAGTACTATCTCAAACCCCAAGCCTGGCTCTCTGTCCCTTCTTATTGCCAGAAGAGAAGGGAGAGAGAATGGCTGTGTGGTGGCTGGGTGCCAACCAGGCTCAAACCACAACAGTACTCCAGACAAAATCTCACAAGTCCTGACCAGAGGGGAGTAACTGTCTCCCTCAAACTGCTGGCTACCTGCTTGCTCCTACAACTCAGAGCACAGCTGGCCTCCTTCACAGCACAGGCACAGTACTGTCTCCACACACCAACACACTCCCAGGGAATAACAGCAGCGAAGATCCTCATGAAGTTCAACAAGGCCAAGTGCACCTGCGTCAGGGCAATCCTCAATACCAATACAGGCTGGGGAATGAAGGTATTGAGAGCAGCCCTCTGGAGAAGGACTTGGGGGTACTGGCGGGTGAAAAGCTGGACGTGAGCTGGCAATGTTCACTTGCAGCCCAGAAAACCAACCGTGTCCTGGGCTGCAGCCAGAGCAGGGTGGGCAGCAGGGCCAGGGAGGGGATTCTGCCCCTCTGCTCTCGTGAGACCCCACCTGCAGTGCTGGGGCCAGCTCGGGGGTCCCCAGTGTAAGAAAGACATGGACCTGCTTGAGCGGATCCAGAGGAGGCCACAAAGATCAGGGGACTAGAGCACCTCCCCTATGAGGGCAGGCTGAGAGAGTTGGGGGGGTTCATCCCAGAGAAGAGAAGGCTCCGGGGAGACCTTAGAGTGGCCTGCCAGTGCTTAAACAGGGCTTATAAGAATGATGGAGACTTTTTATCGGGGTCTGTAGGGACAGGACAACGGGCATCCATTTTAGACTGAAAGAGGGTAGGTTTAGATTGGATATAGGGAAGAAATTCATCCCCGTGAGGGTGGTGAGACCCCGGCCCAGGGTGCCCAGAGCAGCTGTGGCTGCCCCCTCCCTGGAAGGGGTCACGGCCAGGTTGGACGGGGCTGGGAGCCCCCTGGGCTGGGGGAAGGGGGCCCTGCCCGGGGCAGGGGGGCTGGAATTAGGTGATCTTCAAAGGTCCCTTCCAACCCAATCCATTCTGACTCTGTGGCCCCACGGCCCGCCCCAGTTTCCTTGCCCTCCGTGGCTCACGTTTCGCTCTGAGCCAGCCGCCCCCTCCCCAGCCCCCCCGCAGCCCGTACCTGCCCTCCAGCCTCCTCTTCATAGCGGGCGCCCGCAGCCCCTTCATGTGATCTGGGGAGAGAGGGCGCGGCCGTGACTGGCGGGGGACACACGGACACGGGCGGGAACACATGGACACGGACACACACGACACGCAGAGGCAGTTGCCATGGGGACGGGCGGAGCTCACCCTTGTGGCAGTGCGAGAGGAAGTAGGCGCGCGCGCGCAGGTTGTCGTGATCGAAGCGGTCGATGGAGACGGCGGGGTACTCGCGCACGCGACCCCCAAACCGGCTCATGGCGACGGGCGGGGCGGGGCGCCGCTGCCGCTTCCGCTATCGTCACCGTCACTCCCCGGCCCTCAGCCAATCGCCAGGCGGGCCCCGCCTCCCGCCAGCCTATCAGACGCGCGGCGCAGGAGAGGCGGGAACGGCTGCTTAGGGAGGCGGCGGGAGGCGGTTGCCTAGCAACGCGGTTTGGCGGCGGCCGTTGGCTCCCCGCGCCCCGCCGCCATCGAGCTCCCGCGGCCGCTCCGCGCTCCCCTGGCCTGGGAGGAGGCCCCGCTTTGAGGCCCTCGCACCGAGGTGGGTCTTAAGGGCCGGGTTGTGGGGGTGGGAGCAGGGTGGGGTTATGGTCACAGCGGTGACTCAGGCCCGGGCCTAGACATCAGCCTGAGCACCTTGGCAAATACAAAAAGCGCTCGGGTAGTGTGTGGAAGTCACTGGAACTGTCTTACTGACTCTTCCAGGACCACAAATAGGTCCTGTGTGTGCTGGCTTCTGTTAAGTGACCTAGGAGGCGTGGCTGTCTCCTCCAGCCCAGGACCAATCCTGCCTGGGGACCTGGGGCCTCTGCCCGGGCTGAGGGGATGCAGCTCCTGCTTTCCCGTTTGCAGCCTCAGCTGGTACAAACCTGAGCACGTGTAACAACATGGCTGGTCACGCAGGCGCTGCAGGTGACGCATTGCCTTCAACAGCACCTACGTGCAGGACTCGCATAAACCTAGCACAGACAAGTGACTCTCCTCAGCTTTGGCTGATAGCAATAAAAGTTCACCAGTGCGGGCATGCACACACCACTCTCTAGGTTCCCAAGCACACGCACATCTGTGGATCCCTAGAGCACCAGTACAGCCCCTCTGTCTGCCCAGCACCCCTGCACTGATCACAGGCTCCCTTATCAGGTTCATGGATCCCCTACTTGCCCACTTGTCCAAATTGATGCTCATTAGCAAACGTACTCACACGCTCATCCCTCATGCACTCCACTTTCACAAGTCCTACCATGCTGTACCAGCGTGGCCTCTCTGGCTGCTTGATATCCTGGCCTGGACTTGAGATTCCCCATACTCACCAGCTAGTCCAGCTTCAAGTTTGCTGGTGTGATAAATGATTCAGACCCAAACAGGACTCCAATTAAGTTTTACACTTTATTAAACGAATAGAGGCAAGCAAACATTGCTGGGTGCACCGGGAGTCTCTGCTCGACCAAGACGTACACTGTACAATCCCTGTTTTCGGTTTATATCCCTTCTGCTAATACATATTCATAACTATTGCCGAGAAAAGGTGGGCCTGTGCAAATGATTACCATGAATAGGCGTATCTTCTTTAGCACATGCTCTTTACAAACTTCTCTTGCTTAACGCTATGAGGTTAGCAACAAAACCGGTTTAGACTGGTTAGGTGGCTTTTGCAAGAAGCAAGAACTATATACATACCATCCTGCTTCCTCTAAGCCTGCAGCTATATAAGAACAAACAGGATGGTTAAAGATTCCATGTACAAAGGGTCACATTTCACTATACAACCCTAGCATGGCTCCACATTGACACGAATCAGGTGAACACATACCACACTGCTGAGTTTGAATACGTATCCCACGTATACCCAGACTGGGCCGATGCAGGCACCCGTCCTCCCTAGCAGCCAGCACCAGGCACACAGGCTGTGACCCACAGTCCTGCTCCAACTGCTGGCGTAGAGCCCCTCACCCATCCCAGCCCTCCTGCAGTAGCTGATTTTTTAGGACACATACTGTTCCTGCTCCAGTGACTGGAAGATAAAGATCCCCACTCGGTCCAGCAGCTGACATCACAGACCAGGGGCACCCCTACCCCCCGAGTTGAGTCCAGGAGCTGGCGCCAGTTTTCACTCACACACAGAGGTCTCACCAGCGGCTGACATTTAGTCCTTGCAGCACACACACACATGGGATAGAGAGCAAGATTACACAGAGAGATAGTTAAGATTTAATGAAACAATATAAGAAGATAGGACGGACTGTGATGATCAGGCACAGGGCTCAGCCAGACAAGTGTACTGCACACAACTAGTCTCTTTTATACTCCTATATATTCCCAACTTTGCCCCTCTCTGCTCTGCTTCTCCTGCACATCCCTCATGGGTTTGTACTGCTCTGTTGATTCCTGCACCCCTCTGAGTCTGGGGTCCCCTTGCTTTACAGTCTTATCAGTGGCAAAGTCCACATTGATCTTCCTGGAAGTGGAGCCTGTAGTTTATTGACTACAGGCCATCAATTACTGTGAGTGGTGAGGTTTCTTTCTTGTCATGGTCTCTACGTTTGTTTTGTCAGGTCTGTGTCTGTATATTTGGTTTGTGGTTTCCTCTTCCCCTTAGTTTCCCAGTTGACAAGGTGCCTGATCTGATAACCTTGCTGGAATAAACATTCTCACACTCCCACATGCTCCCATTAATTAGTGTGACTGACCAGGTTTGGATCTTATCACCTCATAATTTACTGGTCAGATTTCTGTCCCCATATGTTCTTGTTTTATGGCTTCCTCCCTTTCTTATTATCCCTTGCTGCATTGAAAAAGGTCCTTGACCTGATGCCCTTAAAGGAATAGACACTCTCCTTCCACATACCCTTACAACTTGTATAAGCATATAACTACCATATGCAAGCCCAGGCCAGTTAGGGTTCCATTGAAATTGTGCTATGATTGACATTAAAAAAATGTATTCCTAAGGCCATAATAGAGGTATATGGAATCTCACTATTTCCCCTAAATTAAGAGTAGGCAAACGTTGTCTTAGAGAATTCCACTTCACTGTTCAACAGTTCACTTTAAATGAAAACTGTTAGTATTAAGCTGAATCTTTTCTTGCCGTTCTCTTGCATTCTTTCATTTGCCCATATCTTTCTGCTGTCTTTTGTCTCTTCCCTGAATTGCAGGCTGTCTGGAGTACAGCTCATCTCATGCTCTTGTATAATGAAACCAGCTCTATTCCTGGAACTCAGGGGCACTACAATAGACAGAGTACAATTTTTAAAGGGCTTAAATAGCAGCCTAAAAATATGAGGTTGGTGCTTCTATTACTTGAAGTTGCCAACTGGCACTTTAAATATATGACCTTTATGTATATTTTTTGAGCAGAAACGCCTGTGGACAGGCCATCTGAATTAATGGTGACTCAGGAAGTGCCATGCATATCTAGATGTCTTGAAGAAGCACATTCATTAGATGAATTCAGTACATCCTATAAAGAAGTACTTAACACTAGTAACATGTAAGTTATTATAAGGCACTTAAATTCATTATAGTTTAGCATTTATTAAGATCTAATGTTATTGTTGATGATATTGACTGTCTAAGGTCCCAGATTGACAACAGTTCTCATCAAATGTCAACGAGCATATACAGGGCGTGAAAAATTCTGTAATAGCTGCAGAAGAGCCCTTTGCAGCAGGGGAGGAAAAAAATTATGTTGAGATAGATAATCTCAAAGGCTACACTAAAGATTTAGAATAAGGATGTATGTTTATCATGTTAATTTGTATGTGACACCTCATAACTGGGTGGGAAAATTACTTTTTTTTTTTTTTTGTTAATAAATAGTCAAATTACAAAATGCTGCAGAGCCTGGTAAAAGAGTGTTTGGAGTGCTGAACTGCAAGAAATAGTTTAGTGTTGCCAGAAAAGAGCCCTTGTGCATATTTTTATTGATCTTACAGCCTATGCAGTAAGACATGAAAGGCCCTTTCTTTGTATGCTAGTGGTTCTCATACAATTAGATGACAGAGATGCAGACTTCTGCTATTTACAAATTATGAAAACATTAATTCTTGATATAATTTTCCCAAAGATTTGTATGCAATGGTGTGATTTTTTTTTTTTTTTAATCTCCTTTTCTGCCTTTCTAACTAAGGACATTTGTGCATTTGATAAGACATCAGCATTCAACTTTTCAAGCTCTTGGCTGATACAGGAACTTGCTAAGTAACGAAATTTTTCTCTGTGCACAGGATTTGGAGGCAGCATACTACCCACAGGGAGTGAGACTGTGTTTTTCCTCTCACTATAAAATCCAGAAGCTTCTTCTTCTTTGAAGATACCTTCCTAATTATGAAGCTGAAGCTTGGTGACATTACAAAACTATGAAAGGACACATTTCTGATCATATCTGCTAGACATGATAGTGTTCTGTGTGTCTTGCTTGCAGAAGCAATATAAATTTCTGGTTTAGTAGCAGAATAAGATATACTCAAGAAAGAAAACGCAGTGAAACTCAGATGTAAGGTAGAAGAGAAATGCTTTTTTTTTTTTTTTTTTTTTTTTTAATATGGTTCAAATCCATCCCTGGTGAGTTTCCACTGATTTCACAATATTTTTTTTTATTCCTTGTTTTTTTGTTCTGTTGTTTTTTTTTTTTTTACAGTTTGAGTTTCATCTTGTCCCAGTTCTGCTCTGTTCAAGTTTAGCAGTTGATTAACTTATTTACTATTTCTCAGCAGATTGAACAAATGGGGTTTGTGTGAGGAGGAAGTCAGTGGCAGTCAATGCAGATTTTGATTGGGCAAGAGTAGAATAGGATGGATTTTGGTGGGTTGTACCTTGCCTCCTTATCCAACTTATTTCCTAAGACTTCTTTGCCATCTCCACTGTGGCCATGTGACTGGCAGTATATTTCTCCCTTCCCCTCCTCTCCACCCTGAGCATATGCTGTTTTTAAGTAACAGCCCAGCTCTTCCTTTTGCGGTTCCCAATTTGGTGTCCTTTCAGCAGGAAGAAAGAAAAACCTGAAAAACTGCCTGACCCAAAGGGATAGCCACTGTGAAGATGTGAAATTAAAATAAAATTACCGATTTTTTTTTTTTAATACATCAATATACACAAATAAATTTTAGGTAGTTTAGGTCGAGGTGTAGAGGTGTATTTAGAAGTATAGACGAGTTGGGTTTGTTTGAGATCAAATAGCACATTTAATTTTATTCCAACTGCTTACAACATTTTTCTTTTTCAACCTCAGACTGTGAGGGGATGATAATACTGTACTGTCTATAATTCCTTTATTATTAAATTTTGTTCTACCCATTTCTATATGTCCCTAACAAAATCGCTTGCTTCCATCTTCTCTGTTTAATTTTAAAAAAATCTAATTTCAGGAAAAAGTGTGAAGTTTCTGGAGTCATGGCTAAAGCTGACATCAAACCAAAATCTATATATCATGCCAAAAAGTGGTCAGATGATGTAGAGAACTTATACAGATTCCAGCAAGCTGGATACAGAGATGAGGTTGAATATAAACAAGTAAAACAAGTTGATATGGTAAGATTTAGAACTCTGCGAGGGTTATTACTTTAAACTTCTATCTCATGTTAAACAATTAAATAAAAATTTAAGCACTGTCTATTTCCTTTCATTTAGTCTAGTTTCCAATACAGTTGTTTTCTTCCAGGTATGACTTGAATTCTTGAGCTATTACTAACTGTGCAGAATAACTTGTTTCACAGAAGTGAAACAGAAACACTACCCAGCCCTGTTTCTGTTCCCCCTCTCTTATGCCTTTAGAAACATTATAGATTTATTTGAATAGATGTAGCTGCTCTCTAAAAGAATAACTGAGTTTTGAAGAAAGGAATATATCAAAGTGAGTTCTCTGTGGAGTCTCCCATTCTGCCAATAGACCTGATGGGAAACTTGTTCATTGTCCAGGGAGTCACTTCTGTGTCATTGCTACCAACTTCAGTTTTACAGTCGAATTGCATCGTAGCATAATCAGACTTCATTCACACTCAGAACTTGGCTTCTATTGAAACTGTCCACAATAGAAATGTTTGATGCCAACTGTGGTAAAGGGAGTTGTGACACAGGCTTTTATTGACTGAGAACATCACGGACTTGGTCCTCTGCTCACTACAGTTGGTGGCACATCAAATGAGCTAGTGAATAATGGCCAGATACTCAGTGGCTACTTGAGATTCAAAATAGCAACCAAGACATTAATACAGCAAATGACATCTTTATCAGAGCAGTGATATATAGTATCAGATATATATAGCAGCATATATAGTATTAAAAAATCCACTTTTAAAAGGTCTTAGCCTCCTGTGCACATAAGAAAGAGCAGAACGTTCCTAAGAAAGTCACTCCTCATCCAGTTAACTCAAACCGTAGCAAAAAGTTGATGTGCATAATAAGATGTAGTTTATTATTTTGTCGTGTGCTCTGGTACCACTGTAAAGACTGTGGTGTAAATTCCTTTAACTGTGTGAAAGCAAATCCTGTAATTAGTGTGGTAGGATCAGTCTGTTTAAGATTTATGGCAGGGCATAATCATAGACAATTAAACCCCGATAAAAGTCAAAGAACACAACTTACTTGATGTAAACAGAGGCTAGGATCTAGCAGTGATTCTCTTTCAACTTAGCACATTTTGAAAATGTCTTGTTTACTCCATATGATGCTCCCATATGGGAAGCTGTTATTAATGATGCAATGATAACATAGGTGGAATGAATATTAAGGCTGTTAAGTTTAGACAGAGAATACAAATAACTCAGCTATATGCCTAAAGGATTAAGATAAGTGATGAAACTACCACTTCTGGGACTGTCCAATTAGAGAATGCTCTAGTTTGACATCCTATTGTCAACCCTGCCTGGAAGAGAAATAAGATCCTTATTACCTGATTTTTAAGGTTCAGTTTGATCAGAAGTAGTCATACGTGTTCAAGCTGCACATAGCTACTAAAGCCATAAAGCTGTTGAATGTACAAGTGCTTGAGCCTTTAGTTTACAGCTTCACACTGTGGAACACTGAAGAGCACCAGGATGGTGCTGGTTTCCTGGAGGACCGATCCTGCTGTCTTTGAGACTATGATACATGTAGCTTACTTTATTTTTATGAAATTGCTAGTGAAAAGCACATTTTTCATGGTCAGAAGGATCCTGAAGAAACCTTTAAGTGTGTGTCAGTCCTACAGAAGTGGAATCTTTCAGCCTCTGAGGCTACTGAATAACTGAATAGCATCAATATTTTATTCCTAAATGAGGTATTTTAAAGGCTTTGACTAGTCCACTTTTTAAATTATTCTATCAGATATTCTTAGATCTTTATTTCTAGAATTTTCTGATCACATAATTCTTTATACTAGATCAGAAAACTGGTTTCTGACATACTGTTCTTCAACTTTTTCTAAAAGTTAAGCAAATTAATAGCAAAGTAGTATTTATATGCAAATGAAGTTTTCTCATGGAAGTATGCCGTATATTCTTTGCAGTACAATGCACAATACATCATATAATGTGAGCATGTTCAGGTGAATGTATATCCTTTTTATTCTATTAATAGGTAGAGTGTTGGCCAGAAACTGGATTTGTTAAGAAACTTCAGAGAAGGGACAATACGTTCTATTATTATGATAAACAAAGAGAATGCGAAGACAAAGAAGTCCATAATGTGAAAGTTTATGTGTATTAATTTTGTTATTGTTCTGATTTGTTTGCACTTTTTTATAAATCTGTTTGCTAGAATCTGTAAGTAAATGAAGTTGTGTAATCTGACTTACCTTAAGTATCAATGTCATTCTTGGATAGAAGGGGGAACACAGAAAATTAAGAGAAGCCTGGAACTATAGACATAGAAATTTCATTTTTTTCCTGCTATAACCAAAAGTCTTATTATCCCTCATTTTCCTAGTTACAAATGTTTCGACATAAAGATAAAAAGCTGGTAAATGGGCATCATGTATTTGGTTTAACTGTTTGTAAAGTCCATTATAAGTACATGCATCAATCTTTATTCAAAACAATATAATCTTGTTGACACTGGGTAATGTCAGCCACAGTCTCCTGGTGTAGCTAAGGGTTATGAGACCAGAAAGGGCCAAAGGAAGGCCAAAATGCAAACTAAAGTTCCCTTGGAGAATAGCAAGAATAACAAGCAAAGAATTTAGTGAAGGAAGACTGAACAAGGAGCAAGGACCAGTGCTGAGCTGCAGATTTAAAACCTGGTTATTGAGATAGAAACAATCACAACAAAAACGTGGTTCTGAGCAATAGGTAAGGTATCACCCAAGTATTTTTTTTAGGTGCAAATATTAATTACTTGAGGAGGAAGTATTAATTGACTTGGTAGCATATGCCTTTTTATACAGGGGAAAAAAAAAAAAAAAGATAGTGGATTTATATATATGGTGGGATCAGAGACTATAAAACTGGAGGGAGAACATGAAATCCACACTGTGTAATACTTAAGGTTAGGTAACTTACGCAGATGATGTGTGGGATTTCTGGACAGAATCCACCTCGTCTAACTTCAAATGTCACATTGTCAACATCTGCACCTGATTTTGTCATTTGGACACCCATTGTTCTGAATGGAGAGAAGTTGGCTCTTCTGGGCACAATTCATTTTTTCTAGATGTAACACTTGCTTTGAACATGTTGCTGTGACATCAGCTCTGCAGAAGCTGTCCATATGTGTGCTATTCTGAGACACCCGGTAAATGTGAGGTACCACACCCACCTTCATTCATTCGGGTATTTAGGTAAAATACTTTAAGATGCCAAAACTCTACATACTTGACCAGTAGAACAGATTATTGTTATGTAAGCCAGTAGGTGTGCTCATGGTAGTTACAGAAAAAATGTTATTAATATCTCCTTTCTCTGGACTGTAAACCAAGGGGTATCTAAACTAAGTTTTAGGCACAGATCACCAGTGTACGTTTGACCATCTGGTTTATGGATATTCTTCCTTCATTTGAACCTAAGATGGTGGTCAACTCAAGATGTGGAACAGAGGACTTACAGCTCCAAGTCAAAAGAAGTAGTATGGGTGCAATATTCAGAAGATCTCATTGACATTAGGTGAAGATGATCTAGTCACCTTATTTAGAACGCTTGGAAATTTTTAGCTTAAATTTGTATGAACTCTGTTAGGGAAATGACTGAAAGGTAGTCAGAAGCAGCTGTGGAGCTTTTTTATTCCAGGAAGGTTTTAATGGCATATAGATAGAGAGTTACTGCAATGAAAGAAATAAAGCATCACCACAGTAAATTTCACTTCAGATTTTCATTATGATTTTTTTTTATTATTATTTGGGTTGCTGTGGATGTACTTTTTAAGAAACCTTTTTAAAGAATCTTCCAGTGGACGTGAAAAAAGCCATAAAAAAATTCACAAAAATAGATGTCTTGCATGGCCAACTCAAATTTATTGACAGAAATTATTGCTATCAGCACACACAGAATAAGTAAGAATGTTTGGTACAGCCATTTTCTCAGTCTATAGAAAAGACATAGCTGAGCATTCGAGAACAGGAATTAAAACTGCAGGTAACTTTTTAGAGCTTAACTTCTTTTAAAGAAATACTTTTAAAAATTGAAACAAATGTAGAAGAATATTCTGGGCTTCCCTCATTTTATCTGACTACACCTCAATGTTTTTGCGATACTGCTGGATGTTTTCTCTCTTGTATTATGTTTTAAAACAGAGAGCTTGCATTTCATACAGCCCATAGAGATTTCTTCTGGTTTCAGACAAGTGGCATGGGAATTCATGTTCCACTTCTGAAATGCTGACTTTGTATGAGTTGGAAGGTTCTTCTCACATTGAGAGTGAATTACCTAGATTTTATTATCCACATTTTTCAGTATTGTCAGTGTGCGAAAAGGTTGAATCTCACTGTAAAATTTAAAAGATTAATGGGATGAAAAGGAAAGATAAGCCTTGTAATTAGTGCTAAGGACCAGTTTACAGACATAGCCTTTGTCAGTCCAGTGCTGTATTTGGGATTTTGCTCACTTCATTAGCAAAACAGCAGGTTTTATATTGGTATTGACAGTCTCAGTTATAATTGTACTTTGACATCCAGTTAGTACCCATATTCCACTCCAACTCATGCTAGCCTTATGGTTACTTAAAACCACTCTCTTTTTTTAAAGACTGTAGCAGTGTAGTGGCCTTAGCCAAAGGGGTTTCTCTCTTTAAAAAGAAAGCGCTACAGGGGTTCTTGCCTGAGTTCAAGTTTGTCTGTGATCACAAGGTAACAATCTAGTATAAGGATGTTTACCTGAGTTAATTCTTGGAACCACAGAATGGTTTGAGTCAGAAGGGACCTTTGAAGATCACCTAGTTCCAACCCCCCTGCCCCGGGCAGGGCCCCCTTCCCCCAGCCCAGGGGGCTCCCAGCCCCGTCCAACCTGGCCTTGAACCCTTCCAGGGAGGGGGCAGCCACAGCTGCTCTGGGCACCCTGGGCCGGGGTCTCACCACCCTTACGAGGAAGAATTTCTTCCCTATATCCTACCTACCTATCTCAACCTACCTTCTTTCAGTCTAAAGTGGATGCCTGTTGTCCTGTCCCTACAGACCCCGATAAAAAGTCTCTCTCCATCATTCTTACAAGCCCTGGGAGGCCGCTCGAAGGTCTCCCCGGAGCCTTCTCTTCTCCAGGCTGAACCCCCCCAACTCTCTCAGCCCGGCCCCCCAGGGGAGCTGCTCCAGCCCCCCCAGCATCTCCGTGGCCTCCTCTGGCCCCGCTCGAGCAGCTCCGGGTCCTTCTGCTGTTGGGGGCCCCCGAGCTGGCCCCAGCACTGCAGGGGGGTCTCCCCAGAGCGGAGCAGAGGGGGGGAATCCCCTCCCTGGCCCTGCTGCCCCCCCTGCTCTGGCTGCAGCCCAGGATAACGGTTGGCTTTCTGGGCTGTGAGTGCACATTGCTGGGTCGTGTCCAGCTTTTCACCTGCCAGAACCCCCAAGTCCTTCTCCACAGGGCCGCTTTCAATCCCTTCATCTCCCAGCCTCTATCGATACCGGGGTTGCCCCCACCCATGTGCAGGATCTTGCACTTGGCCTTGTTGAACTTCAAGAGACCTACATGGTCCCACTCCTCCAGCCTGCCAAAGTTCTTCCTGAAGTGGCTTTGGTATTCAGCTGCGTTTGTTGAGCATGAAGCTGCTGCTTAAGTACTAACAAGTCTTGCTCTGCTACTGTTATGCTGAATGTATCTTTTTCAGTCAAAAAAGCTGTCAAAATAGTTTAATGAGTCAGTATTTTATTTGAGAAATCTGTAACTGCAGTGTCTGTCACCTCATTTTTAAGCATGTTGAGAACTGTTAGCTTACTCGCGTCTTAAGATCACTAAGTTATGAAAAAGTACTGAAAGTAATCAGCCTGGGGAAGCTGTGCTTCATTTTAACAGTGACACAACAGTTCATATCAAGCTAAATAACTTATTTCTGAACACCACTACAAAAGCTTCTTCTACTGAACTTTAGTAACTTTAAAGAGATAGAGATAAAATCACATCATTTTATTGCCTAGAAGTGAAAATATGGGCTATTTTGCTGATTTGAGTCTTAATAAAAAATAATTCTGTGACAATACTTACCAGGCTACTTCTCTTATCTGTTGGTATTCCTCTTATCAGGGAATACTGTAATGCTTTCAGTGACCATTTGCAGCAGTTCAACAAGTGGATGATGCCAGGAGTCCCTGTTAGCAAGTTCTTACCAGCTGCCCAAGTTTGATGTACTTAGACTAATTCTAATTCACTTCATGGCTTTATACAAGACAAGAATAAATGCCTTTTATGCCTGTTGAAGCTCATAAAAGGAGGTAAAACAAACTTTTCCAAGACCTACTTTTCAGGCTTTACGTTTGACTGCTATGTGTGAAATGATAAGGGTGCAACCTCTCTGAATTCATCCAGTTACACTGGGAAAATAAAGGCTGAATTTGTGTGTTCTAGGCTGGCTTTATGTGTTTTCAGCCTTTACTTGAATTCATTGTGGAACAGTATTGTCTGAAAGTGATACTATGGTTATTTGATTACTTTGCAGTCACAGCAGCTCAAAGTGCCACAAAGACAGTATAAGTGTTTTAGTTTTCATTTTGGTACCCGAGTGGACAGTTAGTTGTTTTTCCAGCTCTGAAGACAGATGAACCTCAGCATTTTGGTTTTCAAACATGGTTCCCTTGTTTCAAGGTATTGAAAATGATTGACTGGCTTCAAACTCTAATAAAGACAATTTTCTAACTCAACAGCTGTTGATGCTGCTGTTCCTCACATTGACTGATACAAGTGAAGTCTGTCTGAAACCAGCTTGATTGGAGTTGCTTTATGGTCTTTGCAGGCTTGCTTCTGTTGCCCCAGTTCCACTGACTTTATATTTACTTGTGGGAGCTGCTTTCTTAGTAGCCTGCCTGTCCTGAGCACCTCTTGGCAAGTTGTAGTTACTTATTAAAACACATTTTCTTTCTTGTTGCAGTTGAGACTTTGCATTTACTTGAAGTGTGAAGCACAGCACACTCTCAAACAGCATTTGAGAGGGTGGCTGTTGAATGTCTACTGTCAGGAAAGTTCCACGTTGGCACCAAAAAACCTCTCAATGTAACTTTGCACAAACATCACCATTTCTATGGATACTCTGTTCAGCCAGTGTATTTATATGTCTCAATGCTGGGATAGAGTATCTTGCTGGTTGGTGCTTTTATGGCTCTTTTTTTCCTCAGTACTCTACCATATTCTTTGCTTTCACAGGCACCCCATGCTCATGATTCCCTTGGAAATCCCGTCCGATGTCCACGCCTGTACCCCACCTCCCTTACCCAGCCCTGGCTCAGACCTTGTGTCTATTCTTCTACTCACCAGCTAATGCAGCTTGCCATTTGCTAGCAAGTTACATGCACGTGGGACTTAATTTGCTAAGGAAATATAAACATAGCCAGGTTGCTGTGGGTACTGGCACTGACACCCCTCAGATAAGCGTGCACATCCTCAT